TTTAACCTACTTAATAAAAGGCATTGCTCTTTATTTATACAATTTACAATCGTTTTGTATTATTAAGACTGCTATTAAGGCGTGTAATTGATTAATAACTTAATTATGATCCAAAACTCAGTTAACTGTCATGTGTTTCGAGAATGGTTAAAATCGATTGGTAACAATTACTCGTCATTGTTATTGATTCAACACAATTTAAACGTTTTTAAAATAAAATATATTTCGGTTAACTGACTTTTGGTCCACCCCTCAATTAGTAAAAGTTCTTTTCTTTTTTTTTTTGCCTTTTCGTCTATATTAATTTATTATCATCCAAGGAAATATTGTTTCTAGTATGTCAAGAAAAACAAGGCTTATATTGTAATAAAATGACAGACCCACACCTGAATTCAGGCTACTCCCTCACACAAACCCTATTATACTAGAAACAAATTAAGGAATTTGCTACTATTCCTAGACTTTATTGAATATTATTAATTAATTACATAATTTTTAACTCTAATAAATCCGATTTATCTATATACATACGGTAAAAATTTTTTATTATGTCTGATAAATGCAGACGTGTAGTGTTCGACGACTGTCTTATAATCAGATAAACTTTGTGTCAAAGTTAACCGAACACCGCACGAGTCTTTTTTTTATTTTTTTGTTTTTTGTTTCTTTCTTTTTTTTATCTATGAAAGGTCTACTGTCAGTTCGAATCTTTTCGTTATTTCATTAACAATATCTAGAGGAAGACAATGACTATCGACATCGACTCTCCCTTCAGTTATTGGACGGTAAAGAATATTGGTTTAGACCAGAATGTCAAGAAAATTAACTTAATAACAGGGAGAAAAAAATTCTAAAAAGTAAATATTTTGTTACAAATTTGTTTAGATATTTTCGAAATTATCAAATATATAGTAAAACCTGTCTAAAACGGAGCCTGAATAAAATGGAAACTTGTATAATTCTATAGGATATAAAGGGGAGGGAACCTTTTATAACTAATTCTTAAATTAATAATACTGGTAAAAAGTGAAGACAAACTTGATTAAAGGGATTTTTAGCATATATTTTTAATAAAACTAAACTTGCAGTGACTTAAAACACGCAATTTTTCTTCCTGCTCCTTTGTTTGTATACGTGGGCGATCTGTTGAAAGAGGAAGACTTTCTACGAGAAATTAACCCCTATTTAAGTATATTACAAACGTGAAAAAAAACCGAAAACTCACGTGACTAGACCACGATGCCGAACCCGCGACAAGTGTTTAGTACTTTTATCCACCCGGCTATTCCTCCATTATTATTATGTTATTTGTTTATAACTATTAGGCTACAATTTGACAAAATTGTAGACCTATAAATCCCTGTCGTTTGTCTGTTTATCTGTCATTCCTCAATCTCGAGAAGGGAGTTATATAAATGAAATCCGAGACCATATATAAAAACGTTAGAGACAAAAGACTCCAATTAACTATACAAGAACTTCCGACACAAACATAAAGTCACGTCATCTCTTAAAAAACAAATACTTCGACAGTGAAACGTACTTATTTAAGGCTAGTCGAATACTACACTAGCCTAACAAATCATTTTTTTTGTGTGTGTGTGCTGTGTCTCAAGGCTCCGCACCTGTAAATTCATTTATGTATTTTGTGAATAGGAACATGTTTACTCATGTGTGTTTTGTTATTCCAGCTGAATGATTATGACATCAGCGATTATCCACGCATAGAAGCCAACTATTAAAGACTGAAAAGACTATTTGTTAATTCCCTTATACATGGAAACTTACAGAAGTAACAGAACTAACATACCAATGCTTCAGGATCTTTTTTTTTAACTGATAAAGTCAAATTAAATAGAAAATAAATCATACAATAGAACAATTTAGAGCAATTTAGACCTATACATTCTCACTATCGTCCGTCTGTCCGTCCGTCCGAACTTCGTTAATCTCGAGAAGAGATTAAAATAACACTAAACATTGAATAAGTAATTTTAATTTTACGAAAGAATACACTTACCTATCTCTAGTTTATTATTATAATTAATTTAAATCCAGCTATACATATTATGCCAGCTGTATGATAAAATACAATGGATATTTTTAGAGATTTAATGTATTATTTTAAATATTTACATATAACATTTATCAAGCAGAAATAAATTAAAATTAATATATAGCATTTATCAAAAATATTCGAGTAGCAAGTATGTACAGTATAACCTGTATAAGCCGGAATGGGACGGAATAGTTTCTCCGGTTTTGGCATGCTTCCGTTTCGAACAGGTACTTTTTAACAAAGAAAATCGCTCCGTTTCGAAGAATTTTTCCCGTTTAGGCAGGTTCAGGTACCGTTTTGCACAGGTTTTACTGTAAAAAAACGACCGAAAATAAAATTTATTTATAGATAATTGCGATAAACTTTTCAAAAACTCCTTTTAAAATATTAAATTTTAATTTAAAAAACCTGTCTAAAACGGAAACTGACCAATTAAAAACAAAAGGGAACCTGCCTAAACGGGAAAAATTCTTCGGAACAGAGCGATTTTCTATGGAGAAAACAACCTGTTTAAAACGGAAACAGGAAAAATATTCCATTGCGGTTTACACAAGTTTTAGTGTAATTAAATTTATTTATTAAAATATATAAGCCTATATATAGGGCTACATAATAAAATATATTTAGACCTATATAATAAAATATTGCATTAAATTTATAAAAATTTATTAATATTAAAAATCTATAAAATAGAGTTTAATAAATAATGCATGGTCATCCTATGAATCATTCTGAAACCTTTCCTCTTTTTTTATCTGGCTTACGGCTTAGAAGTGTCTAGAAAGTTGATAATTGCTTTCCTGTTGCGTCATATTATACTAACCAATAAAAGATTGACACAGATACACGAAGCGAACTGTATAAAACGAAGTGGCACAGTGTCAGGAGTGTCAATTACATTGTCTATTTACTAGAAACAACATTAAACATGCCCATCGATTTGTATCTTATGGAGGCGAGTGCACCTTGCCGTGCAGTTTTGATGACCGCCAAACAACTGGGTATCGATCTGAACAAGAAGCCCATAGATCTAACGAAACAGGAGCAACTTAAACCCGAATTTATAAAGGTAATTTCTCTTCCTAAATCCTTTAAAAATATTGAATAAATTTAAGGTATTTTATACAAAAATGTGGGGTAATATACCGCGTGAGATGAGTTTACAACTCTTGAAATTTTGCCAACTTTGGCTTCCACTAAGTAGCTAATTGTACGAAGAACAATTGTCCTTGACAGCAGGAAGAACCACAATGCTTTAATTATATTTATACAGTAAGCGAAACCTGAATAAAACGGAAACCTGCTAAATCTACCGGTTTAACACGGGCCGGTTTACACAGGTTTTACTATATAATTCTGAATATAACTTTTTTAATTACTAGATGAACCCCCAACATACCGTACCAACTCTTGACGATAATGGCTATTACGTATGGGAAAGGTAAGTTTGAATATATTTTCTACACACGGTATTCTATAAAATACAAATTTATAATGTTATTAACATTATAGCCGAGCCATTCTGACATATTTGGCCAACAAATATGCTCCAGATAATAACATATATCCAAAGGATCCTCAGAAGAGAGGGGTCGTTGACAGATTATTGTACTTTGACTTGGGTGTCTTGTACAAAACTTTAGCGGATTATTCTGTGAGTTATAACTTAAAAATCTCTTCTTCTACATGATTTTTATACAGATAATTTTACATTTTGTGTTAAAATATTAATATTAATTTCGTAGAAACCATTTCTGTTCATGGGTAAGGAGAAAGATCCAGAGAAGGAGAAAGCCTTTGAAAATTCTTTGAAATTCCTGGATGGATTTTTAGAGAAATCGACTTATGTAGCTGGCGATCATTTAACATTAGCCGATTTATCGATTTTGGCTACAATAACTATTACTGAGGTAATTATTTTCTATATAAAATCTTTTGCTCGCTTTATATTTTCTAGATTAAAGTATTAATAGATTAATCCTTAACTAGGAAAAATAATGTAATTAGATTTAACCCACGACCTTACGTTTATAACCATACAGTAAATTTTATCTTTCAGCATGAATTTTGTAATATTTATGTTAATATCAAGTTTAGACTTGTCTAGATTTTTCATTGATTTATTTTAAATTTATTGAAAGATTTTATAATATTCTGTAGGAGAAAATTAACTTTTATATAAAATAATTTTATTTAAATCTACACGAAATATATATATATATATGACGACCCTTAAGATAATAAAAGTATGATAAAGAAACACAAGGGGAGCTACTGTCACCTGAGGACGGTAGAAAACACAAGGGGCGCTGAAAGACGAAGGGCGACATGGGGCGTTGGAAGAGAAAGATACATTTTTAACATTATTTTCTGGTGTGTCAAGAAGGCAAATTTGAGAACACTTCCTTGTATTTGATATAAATTACAGTAAAACTATTCCAAAACAGAAAAATATTCGGTACCGTGCGAGTCTGGCCACAGGTTTCGCTGTATTTCGAAAGATCTGGACGATTTTTTGTCATTATTAATTTTAATATCTAATCCCTCTTTCACAATACCTTCTACTGTTTACACCGCGTATTTTGGGGGGAGGGTAATTAAATTAATAACTTAAATTCTTAGACTTACATAACAAAATATCTTAGAATTAAAGTTCAAAAAATATTTCCATAATGATTAAATATTGTCAGATAAGATTAGAAATATTAGCTATTGTCTTGATTTTTTTCTAGACAGGTTTCCTTTTTATTTAGTTTCCTTTTAAACACGGACACTGCTTAAATTTACACAGTCAAATACAAGAAATAAGTTTGGGAACCCCTATATTAAAGGATAAACTCAAAGTTAAAAAAATACCAAAAATATATAATATAAATTAAAACCTGTACAGAACGGAACCCGAATAAAACGGAAACCTGCCTAAACGGAAAAATTCTTTAAAACGCAGCAAATTTTGTACGGTTTAACCTGTTCAAAGCAAAGAAACCTGTCAAACCGGTAATAATTCCGGTTTAGGCAAGTTTTCCTGCATTTAATGAAATACAATAAAACCCGCGTAATAGCAGGTTACCGAATATTCTTTCCGGTTAGGCAGGTTTCCGTTTTAGACAGGTTTTATTGTATTTCGATTTCTTTTTTTAAACTTAATTTCATTTAATTTCTTTCTATCTCAGGTATTCGATTACGATTTGAGTGCCCATCCTCATCTCCATGCTTGGTACACCAAACTGAAAAGTCAGTTACCCTATTTCAAAGAGGTTAACGAACCAGGTTTACGGCAATTGAAAGAGTACATCGAAATGAGAAAGCAAGAACACAAAAAAATAAATTCTTAAACAATAATAATAATCCAATAAAATTATTTTTAATTATTATTTAATTCAAATTTGTGTATTTTTTTTTATCAGTCAATAAAAGAATAATTGTATTTACTATATGATCTTGCATTGTTTTTTGTACAGTAAAACCTGTATAAACCGGAATAGCACGGTACCGAATGTTCCGTTTTAAACAGGTTTTACTGTACAACAGTTGACCCCCCCTATAACACTGTTGATAATTCCGTTTTATATGAATTCCATGTTATACGAGTCACTTAGATTTTACAAATACGTGTGCCGGGCTGTGAACTGCTCACGTATTTGTAAAATCTAAGTGACTCGTACAACATGGAATTCATATAAAACGGAATTATCAACAGTGTTATAGGGGGGGTCAACTGTTGTACAGTAAAACCTGTTTAAAACGGAACATTCGGTACCGTGCTATTCCGGTTTATACAGGTTTTACTGTACAAAAAACAATGCAAGATCATATAGTAAATACAATTATTCTTTTATTGACTGATAAAAAAAAATACACAAATTTGAATTAAATAATAATTAAAAATAATTTTATTGGATTATTATTATTGTTTAAGAATTTATTTTTTTGTGTTCTTGCTTTCTCATTTCGATGTACTCTTTCAATTGCCGTAAACCTGGTTCGTTAACCTCTTTGAAATAGGGTAACTGACTTTTCAGTTTGGTGTACCAAGCATGGAGATGAGGATGGGCACTCAAATCGTAATCGAATACCTGAGATAGAAAGAAATTAAATGAAATTAAGTTTAAAAAAAGAAATCGAAATACAATAAAACCTGTCTAAAACGGAAACCTGCCTAACCGGAAAGAATATTCGGTAACCTGCTATTACGCGGGTTTTATTGTATTTCATTAAATGCAGGAAAACTTGCCTAAACCGGAATTATTACCGGTTTGACAGGTTTCTTTGCTTTGAACAGGTTAAACCGTACAAAATTTGCTGCGTTTTAAAGAATTTTTCCGTTTAGGCAGGTTTCCGTTTTATTCGGGTTCCGTTCTGTACAGGTTTTAATTTATATTATATATTTTTGGTATTTTTTTAACTTTGAGTTTATCCTTTAATATAGGGGTTCCCAAACTTATTTCTTGTATTTGACTGTGTAAATTTAAGCAGTGTCCGTGTTTAAAAGGAAACTAAATAAAAAGGAAACCTGTCTAGAAAAAAATCAAGACAATAGCTAATATTTCTAATCTTATCTGACAATATTTAATCATTATGGAAATATTTTTTGAACTTTAATTCTAAGATATTTTGTTATGTAAGTCTAAGAATTTAAGTTATTAATTTAATTACCCTCCCCCCAAAATACGCGGTGTAAACAGTAGAAGGTATTGTGAAAGAGGGATTAGATATTAAAATTAATAATGACAAAAAATCGTCCAGATCTTTCGAAATACAGCGAAACCTGTGGCCAGACTCGCACGGTACCGAATATTTTTCTGTTTTGGAATAGTTTTACTGTAATTTATATCAAATACAAGGAAGTGTTCTCAAATTTGCCTTCTTGACACACCAGAAAATAATGTTAAAAATGTATCTTTCTCTTCCAACGCCCCATGTCGCCCTTCGTCTTTCAGCGCCCCTTGTGTTTTCTACCGTCCTCAGGTGACAGTAGCTCCCCTTGTGTTTCTTTATCATACTTTTATTATCTTAAGGGTCGTCATATATATATATATATTTCGTGTAGATTTAAATAAAATTATTTTATATAAAAGTTAATTTTCTCCTACAGAATATTATAAAATCTTTCAATAAATTTAAAATAAATCAATGAAAAATCTAGACAAGTCTAAACTTGATATTAACATAAATATTACAAAATTCATGCTGAAAGATAAAATTTACTGTATGGTTATAAACGTAAGGTCGTGGGTTAAATCTAATTACATTATTTTTCCTAGTTAAGGATTAATCTATTAATACTTTAATCTAGAAAATATAAAGCGAGCAAAAGATTTTATATAGAAAATAATTACCTCAGTAATAGTTATTGTAGCCAAAATCGATAAATCGGCTAATGTTAAATGATCGCCAGCTACATAAGTCGATTTCTCTAAAAATCCATCCAGGAATTTCAAAGAATTTTCAAAGGCTTTCTCCTTCTCTGGATCTTTCTCCTTACCCATGAACAGAAATGGTTTCTACGAAATTAATATTAATATTTTAACACAAAATGTAAAATTATCTGTATAAAAATCATGTAGAAGAAGAGATTTTTAAGTTATAACTCACAGAATAATCCGCTAAAGTTTTGTACAAGACACCCAAGTCAAAGTACAATAATCTGTCAACGACCCCTCTCTTCTGAGGATCCTTTGGATATATGTTATTATCTGGAGCATATTTGTTGGCCAAATATGTCAGAATGGCTCGGCTATAATGTTAATAACATTATAAATTTGTATTTTACAGAATACCGTGTGTAGAAAATATATTCAAACTTACCTTTCCCATATATAATAGCCATTGTCATCGAGAGTTGGTACGGTATGTTTAGGGTTCATCTAGTAATTAAAAAGTTATATTCAGAATTATATAGTAAAATCTGTGTAAACCGGTAGATTTAGCAGGTTTCCGTATTATTCAGGTTTCGTTTTGAACAGGTTATACGGTATAAATATAATTAAAGCATTGTGGTTCTTCCTGCTGTAAAGGACAACTGTTCTTCCCTGCAATTAGCCACTCAGTGGAAGCCAAAGTTGGCAAAATTTCAAGAATTGTAAACTCATCTCACGCGGTATATTACCCCACATTTTTGTATAAAATACCTTAAATTTATTCAATATTTTTAAAGGATTTAGGAAGAGAAATTACCTTTATAAATTCGGGTTTAAGTTGCTCCTGTTTCGTTAGATCTATGGGCTTCTTGTTCAGATCGATACCCAGTTGTTTGGCGGTCATCAAAACTGCACGGCAAGGTGTAATCGCCTCCATAAGATACAAATCGATGGGCATGTTTAATGTTGTTTTTAGTAAATAGACAATGTAATTAACACTCCTGACACTGTGCCACTTCGTTTTGTACAGTTCGCTTCGTGTATCTGTATCAATCTTTTATTGGTTAGTATAATATGACGCAAAAGGAAAGCTATTATCAACTTTCTACACACTTCTAAGCCGTAAGCCAGATAAAAAAACAAGGACGATATATATAAAATATATTTAATTACACTAAAACCTGTGTAAACCGTAATAGAATATTTTCTCCTGTTTCCTTTTTAAACAGGTCGTTTTTTTTACATAGAAAATCATTTACCGAAGACTTTTTCCGTTTCGGACAGGTTATACAGTAATTCAGTGCGAGATTATTTATTCTTACTTAAACTGTCATTAAAAAAATACAGAAAACAATGCAAGATCATATAGTAAATACAATTATTCTTTTATTGACTGATAAAGAAAAGTACACAAATTTGAATTAAATAATAATTAAACATGATTTCTTGGTTTATTATTATTATTATTTAAGAATTTATTTTTTGTGTTCTTGCTTTCTCATTTCGATGTACGCTTTCAATTGTCGTAAACCTGGTTCATTAACCTCTTTGAAATAGGGTAACTGACTTTTCAGTTTGGTGTACCAAGCATGGAGATGAGGATGGGCACTCAAATCGTAATCGGATACCTGAGATAGAAAGAAATTAAATGAAATTAAGTTTAAAAAGAAATCGAAATACGATAAAACCTGTCTAAAACGGAAACCTGTCTAAACCGGAATTATTTGCTTTGAGAAGGTTTCTGCTTTGAACAGGTTTTCTTTTTTTTTTTAAACCGTACAAAATTACTTGTTCTGAAGTATTTTTCCGTTTAGGCAGGTTTTCGTTTTATTCGAATTACGTCCTGTACAGGTTTTATTGTATATTATAAGCTATATTTTTTTAACTTGGAGTTTATTTTTTAATACAGGGGTTCCTATCTTGTTTCTTGTATTTGATCTCATGATCACCCGTTAATAATATATTATTAAATCAGTTAATGAATTTTAATTGACCCCTCGAGATCCATCGAATCCTTTCAAATTCCATTGACTCCCAGGGGGTCTATATCGACCTCGTTGGGTATATACCACTATAATATTAATACGTCACTGTATATTGTAAAAATTTAAGCAGAGTTCCTGTTTAAAACCTGTCTAAACAAAAGAAATGAAGATAATAATTTTATATTTCTAATCTTATCTGACATTATTTAATCATTAAGGGAATATATTTTAAACTTAAATTCTAAGATATTTTGTTATATAAGTCTAATTATTTAAGTTATTAATTTATTTACTCCCTAAAAAATACACGGTGTAAACAATGGAAGGTTTTCTGCAAGAGGGATTACATAAAAACATATCTTTGTCTTCCAACACTCCCTATCGCCCTTTACCTTCCAGCACCCCTTTGTGTGTTTTTTTTATCATACTTTTATCATCTTAGAGTCGACATATTTTCGGTAGATTTAAATAAAATTAATTTATATAAAAGTTAATTTATGCCTAAAGAATATTATCTAGAAAATATAAAGCGAGCAAAAGATTTTATATAGAAAATAATTACCTCAGTAAAAGTTATTGTAGCCAAAATCGATAAATCGGCTAATGTTAAATGATCGCCAGCTACATAAGTCGATTTCTCTAAAAATCCATCCAGGAATTTCAAAGAATTTTCAAAGGCTTTCTCCTTCTCTGGATCTTTCTCCTTACCCATGAACAGAAATGGTTTCTACGAAATTAATATTAATATTTTAACACAAAATGTAAAATTATCTGTATAAAAATCATGTAGAAGAAGAGATTTTTAAGTTATAACTCACAGAATAATCCGCTAAAGTTTTGTACAAGACACCCAAGTCAAAGTACAATAATCTGTCAACGACCCCTCTCTTCTGAGGATCCTTTGGATATATGTTATTATCTGGAGCATATTTGTTGGCCAAATATGTCAGAATGGCTCGGCTATAATGTTAATAACATTATAAATTTGTAT